AAAAAAAAATTATCATATACATTATATATATGTATAGATGTATGTATGTGTGTGTATGTATATACAAAGAGGGGGGGAGAGAAAGAGAGAGCGAGAGAGAGAGAGAGAGAGAGAGAGAGAGAGATGTATATTACGTTGTTATGGTTTAGTCATTTCAGTTGTGTCTAACTCTTCATGACCCTGTTTGGGATTTCCTTGGTAATGATACTGAAGTGGTTTGCCATTTCCTTCTCCAGCTCATTTTATAGATGAAGAACAGAGGCAAACAGGGTTAAGTGACTTAAGGAAGATGAATCTTCCTGATTCTAAGCCCAGTGCTCTATCCACTGCGCCACCTAACTGCCCCAATATATGTATATGTATATGTATATGTACATACACAAATACATATATGTATATGTATATGCATATATGTGTGTCTCATTCTAAACTCTAAGTCTTTCATCTCTCTATTAGGCGATGGGCAGTATTTTTTATCATTATTCTTCCGGAATCACAGTTAGACATTGCACTGATCTGAATCTAAGTCTTTAAAGGCTTTTTGTCTTTGCATTACTGTCACTGTACAAATCATTCTCCTGGTTCTGTTCAATTCACTCTGCATCAGGTCACACAAGTCTTTTCAGATTTCTCTGAAACCACCCCTTTCATCATTTCTTAAGCATAATAGTATTCTGTCATATTTATATACAGAATATATATGTAACTTGCTACTTCAAAATGAACTATAAATATACTGGTACATCCTTAGTTTGTTTTGTTTAGGACTAATTTCTCCCTTAACATACCCTCCCTCTAAATTCTTCCTTCTCTTTTTTTTCTTCCTATTTCCCTGTTGAATTAAAGGTATTTCAGCACCCAACTTTATGTGTGAGTATTCTTCCCTCCTCTGATCAAATTAAATATTTGTAAAGAACAATACTGGACACAGAGTAGACACTATATAAGTGCTAGCTATTATTATGATTATTTTATCACTATTACTTTGATCAGTTCAGATGAGACTACCATTTAAATGTCAGCTACTTTCTCTATCCCTTCCTCTTTGTTTGTATAAACTTCCCCTTGAGCACTCCAATTATGTGAGATAATTTTCCCTAATCATTCTTTCCCTACATCTCCCATGTCCCTCTTCCCCTCCCTTTCCATTCTTCTTTTAAGATCATTAAGACAGGACTTCTGCTAATTAGAATTCCTCTATGACCCCTGATGATGATAGAGTTCATCATGCATCATCCATGCCACCTATATTAGAATATCAACATATCCTTGTTTGTTCCATTATCATTGTTCATTTGTGTTTGCCTTTTTGTTTCCCTTAACTTGTGTTTGAACTTCACTTTCTACAGATCTCTGGTCTTTTCATCAGGAAATCTTAAAAGTTCTCTATTTCATTAGAAGTCTATTTCCCCACTCTATGATTATATGCAGTGTTGTTGGGTTATATTATTCTTGGCTTTAAGCTTCTATCCTTTGTCTTCTGAAATATCATATTCTAAACTCTCTGCTCTTTCATAATGGTGGCTCATAAGTTGAGTGTGATCCTTACTGTGGCTTCTTAATACTTGAATTCTTTCTTTTTCTGGCTGCTTGTAGTATTTATTCTTTGACTTGGAAGCTCTAGATTTTGGCTATGATATATGAGGAATTTTCATTTTTTTTCAGGAGTAACCACTGGGTTCTTTCTTGTTCCACTTTGCTTTCTGGCTCTAAGAGATCTGGGCAGTTTTCTTTTAATACTTCTTTCTTTTTTCTTTTTTTAAATTTTTAATTAATTTATTTTGATTTATCAACAATCACTTCCATAAGCTTTTGAGTTTTAAATTTTTCTCCCCCCTCCCTCCCCACCACTCTCCCCAAGATGGCACGTAATATGATATAGGTTATACATATACATCCCTATTAAACATATTTTCACATTAGTGATGTTGTAAGTAAGAATTAGAACCAATAGGAGTAACCACTAGAAAGAGGAAACAAAACACAACAGAAGAAAGAAACTAGCAAATAGTATGCTTCAATCTGCATTCAGACTCCACAATTCTTTCTTTGGATGTGGATAGCATTTTCCATCATGAGGCCTTTGGAGAAGTCTTAGATCCCTGAATTGCTGAGAAGGATTAAGTCTATCAATATTAGTCATTGCACAATGTGACTGTTACTGTGTACAACATTATTCTGGTTCTACTCACTTCACTCAGCATCAGACCATACAAATCTTTGTAGTTTAAGATTTCTTGAAATAGGATGTTTAGGGCTCTAATTCTGGTCATGGTTTTCAGAGAGCCCAATGATTCTTAATGTTTTTTCCCCTTGATCTGTTTTCTAAGTTAGTTGTTTTTGCTGAGGTAACTTGCATTTTCTTCTATTTTTTTAAATCTTTTGACTTTGTTTTAACATATCCTCTTGTTTCATGGAGTTGTTGACTTCTATTTGGTCCATTCAAATTTTCAGGAACTTTTGTTACTTGGGCAAGGTTTTGTACCTCTTAAGCCAAGCTATTAATTCTCTTTTCAATTCTTTCTTCTAAATCTCCCATTTATTTTCCAATGTTTTCCTCTAGTGATCTCATTTAAAAATTGTTTTTACATGCAACTGGGAAATAAGATACACAGGCAATGGGGTATAGGAATTGATCCTGCTCTACAGGAAAATAGAAGGGGAAGGGGATAAGAGGGGGTTGTGTGTGATAGAAGGGAGAACAGATTGGAGAAAGGGGTATTCAGAATGCACACCATTGGGGTGGGGGAGGGGAGAGATGGGGAGAAAATTTGGAACTCAAAATCTTGTGGAATTGAATGTTGAAAACTAAAAATAAATAAATTAATTAATAAAAAAACCCTTTATGCTTCATCTTTTGGAATACTAGTTGAATTTATGTCCAACTTACATTTTACTTTGAGGCTTTGCTTGTAGAGTCATTCTTTTCTTCTCAGTTGGGATTCTTTTTCTGCTTTCTCATTCTTCCAGCCTACTTCCTGACTTTGAACGTGATGTTGGGGCCAGGCCCTACACAGTTCTGGAGGCAATGTTTGGGCTAGTTCTACTGCTGCTTTCTTAGGGCTAGTGTGTGTTGTATTATCCCAGGATCTCAGGGAAAGCTAAAGATGGGGACCTGCAAGCTTTCAGTGCTCCCAAAGTAGTCTGACCCAGGGTAATGTACAATAATTGCTCTCCTGGTCTGAGCTCAGCAAGTTCCTGACCTGGGTTTGGGCTTGAGCAACAATAGAATGCTGGTGGACTCAGTCCTATCTGGGAAGCTCAGCTGGATCACAGTGACAGAATTGCAAGCTTCCCTTTGAGGTGGAATTCCTTCCTAGAGGCTTCAGGCTGGGCTAGACTTTGGAAATGAGATCCTGCTCTGTTCTTCAAGTCTGAGCCACACTGCTGCTGCTTGCTTCTGAACTTGCTCCTCTCTCATGACACTGATCAGGGTCCGCAACCACTATTTACCCAGGATGCCACCTCTGAGCACAGGGCTCCTCATCTTTCTGCCCTGGATCTGTGACCCAGAATTGGGTAGTGGGTGACAAAGCTGCCTTGACAAAGTTGGCACCTTTTCTTGCAACTGCCTGAGGTTACAGTGCCCCAGTACGGGTCTGGAACTTCCTCTTGTACTTGCGCACAGCCTCTCCCCACGTTGAAGCACTTTGCTTTGGTGGCTCCTGACCAGACCCATTTCCAGTATTCACAGATCTCTCTATTTCCCTATGCTAACCTGAGCTGGAAAAATGACTCACTATGATTTATTTCTAGGATTTCCCCAGCAGGATTTATTCTGGTACATTTTCTTCCTTCCTTTTTCTTTCTTTCTTTTTCTTTCTTCCTGACTATTCTTTTAAAAAATTTGACATTAGTTATTTTTACATTCTTTTCTTTTTTAATTTTGCATTCCAAATTCTCTCCCTGCCACCACATTCCCTCCCATGCATGCCCACTGAGAAGGCAAGCAATATATCAATTATACATGTGACATGATATAAAACATTTTCATATTAGCCATATATATATTTTTTGGCTAGGCAATGGGGTTAAGTGACTTGCCCAGGCTCACACAGCTAGTAAGTGTCAGAGGCCAGATTTGAACTTAGGTCCTCCTAACTCCAAGGTTGGTGCTCTATCCCCAAGCCACCTAGCTGCGCCCCCCCTTTTTAAGTTTTTCTTTTTTTCATATTTTTAAAAAAGCAAGAAAAATAAAATGAGAAATTATACTTCAGTTTGCAGAGTTCATCAGTTCTCTCTCTGGAGGTGGAATGCTTTCTTTTTAATCGTGAATCCTTTGGAATTGTCTTAGATCATTGTATTGATCAGCACAGCCAAGTTTTTCACATTTGATGATCATTACAATACTGCTGTCACTGGGCACAGTGATCTCCTGGTTCTTCTCACTTCATTTTGCATCAGTTAATATAGTGCTTGCCATGTTTTTCTGAAACCACCCCCTTCTTCATTTTCCGTAACACAACAGTATTCCATCACAATCACATGCCATAACTTGTTCAGCTGTTTCCCAACTGATGAAGATCCTCTCAATTTCCAATTCTTTTCCACCACAAAAAAGTTGCTATAAATATTTTTATATGTATTGGTTCTTTTCCTTCTTCTCTGATCTTTTTGGGATATAGACCTATTAGTGGTATTTCTGGGTCAAAGGGTATTGCACGATTTTATAGCCCTTTGGGCATAGTTTCAAAATGTTCTACCTAGGTCCAAATGGTTGGACCAGTTCACTACTTCACCAGCGGTTCATTAGTGTATCTAGTACATTTTCTAGATCTGTTTGGAGGATTTTTGGTGGGGAACTCACTTTATTTCTTCCTCCTACCTTATCATCTTGGCTCTGCCCTTCCATAACAGGTTCTTAATAAGCATTTGATGTGATCATATTTCTAAAGCACTCTGTGAACTTTAAAGTGCAATATAAATTTTATAATAATAATAATGATAATAATTTTTACTGTTATCTTCTGAGTTGACTTGTTGAACTACTATTGTTTTAGGTTTTGGAAAATATGTTCGAGTATTTTTGGCAGATTCAAAGGGATTTCATAGATTCATGGCCACAGATCTTGAACATGAGAACACAGTGGAAGCAGCAGTTATTAGTCCTGATAACAATGTGATTGTCACTGGGTCTCTTGATGCATTCATCCAGGTAAGAGAGTAAGAATGCTTGGTACTCCAGGTTGACATTGGCTTCTCAAGGACCACAGACCAAGGACGTGGTGGGACGGTTATAAATGGCCCTGGTACATCCATCTGTGTTCTTCTAGAACCTTAGAACTGTAGAAAATTACAACTGTGAGGAAGCTTAGAGGTTGTCTTGTCTAATTTCCTCACTTTACTGATGTAAAAATGAGTCCCAGAGAGAATTCCTTGTTACATAGCAAGTCAGTAACAGAGACTAGACCCAAGTCCTATGGGGATCCTAGCTCTCAGTCTGATCTTTCTTCCTCAGTGTTAAAAAAAATACTAGAACCACTATCATCCAATCCAGAGATCTTTCAGTTATTTTATAGTAATCTAAAGTTTATAAAGTGCTCTCCTCACCAAAACAGCAGGAAATAGGTAGTATCAGTATTATTTATCCCCATTTTGTAGATAAAGAACCTGAAGCATTGAAGGAAAATCACTTGCCTAGGGTCACACAATTAGCATCAGAGCTAATGAATCCAGGCCTCCTGACTCTAAATCCATTCCTCTTTCCACAACACCATGCTGCCTCTCTGTCCTTAGCCTCCTCTATACTGCTCTGGACCAGATATGAGCCTAGTGACCTGCTACCCTTCAAGAGTCCTATTTGAGCTCAGGAAAGGGACAGGTAATAATAAGGATGGGGATGGAGCAGGGGCTCTCAGGGTGGCTTCCAGTGAGGGCTTTACTTTAGTAGTGTTTGGGTAGGGTCCAGAGTAGAAGTGCCGCACACACATGGGTGCATGTGGCCCACAGGCCTGAACTAAATTAAAATGTAATTGGGAAATATTTAACAAAATTTTAAAAAATACAATAAAACAAAAGTAATGTCAATATGTGATTTTCTAAGTCAGTATGTACCCATGGGGATCTTTATGTATGGTTTAGTGGTCCCCTTTTCTACTTGAGTTTGACATCATTGGTCTAGAGAGGCAGGGCCAGGGGAGAGAAGGGTGGGCTACTGATAGCTCCCTGAGGAGGACAAAGCAAAGCCTCACTCACCCCTAGCCCACTTTCCTGGAGGAACTCATCCCACTGATCCATATCAACCTTCACATATTCCTCCTTCTTGATGCTTTTCTCCTTCCCCTCATCCCTGATAAGAAGTCTGTGCTTGACTCATCCTCTGATCCAGGCTGATAAATGCTTTTTTCCCAGTCGTGCTCCACTAGCCCTCAGCCCCAAACTCCTCATTGACCTCCTCACATACACACAATTGAACAGCGTTCTAGTGCACAAACATTTAACAGAATATTCAATTTTGCCTACTTCCACCCTTCATTCTTCTCAGGTATGGAGTCTGTCGGAGCAGGGGACCCTTTTAGACATTTTTGATGGCATGGGAACCCCAGTGAATGTGCTGGCCTGCTGTGGACACACTTTGGTTTCTGCCTCCAGGAATTCATCATCGTTCAGAGTTTGGGATCTTGCTTATACGCAGAAACATAAACTCTCATCCCCTTTTTTGGACCGCACTGGCTGCGCTGCAGTGTCTCACAATGGAAACTATGTATACTTCCCCAAAATAGGAGATAAAAACAAAATCACTGTCTGGGACTCTGTGCAAGGTTTGTAAAATGCCATATGAAAGCTTAAGTGACAGGTAAATCACAAGATCATAGGATCAGAGATTTAAAGCTGAAAGGGACCTTAGAGGTCACCCAGTATAACCTCTTCATATTATGGATGAGAAAACTGAGCACTACAGAGGGTAAATGATTTGTTCAAGGTCGCAGAGGTAGTAGGTGATAGAAACAGGATCTGAATTCAGGTCTTCTGACTCCAAGTCTCGTACTCCACTTTATGGCACCTTATATACCATAAAGCATCAAAACTAGGAGGAACCTTAGGATATAGAAGATAGCTACATACAGCTAGAAACAATCTTAAAACATAGAACACAATGTCAGGGCTGGGAGGGTCCTTAAACACAGGATGTCAGGGCTGGGAGGGTCCTTAGAATATAGAAGGTCAGGTTTCTTGCCAGAAGCTGAACTTCAGGGCAATCAAATGGCTGACTCCAGGTAATAAAAGTAAAAATAATAATGAATAATAATCACAATTAATATGTCAAATTATTCATTATATTATTTATTATTAAATAAAATTTAAATAATTTAATTAGTAATAACTATAAATAATTAATAGCAGAGCCAGGACTAGAACTCAGGTCTCTTGATTTTCAGTCTAGCACTCTTTCCATCAAACCACTTTACCTCTCATTTGAGTGGAAAACAAAGCTGTTCTTAATGCAAAGACTGTCTTTATTTCAGGGGAAGATCATGATATCTTAGATGCTTCAAATGAAGTGCAGTGCTTGGAAGTTGCTGAGCAGATGAAGTTGCTCTTTGCTGGGCTGATCTCAGGGACAGTCCTAGTGTTTCCCCTGAACTCCAGGCAGGATGTAATATGCATCCCACCCCCAGAAGCTAAGAAACCTGTCAAATGCATGGCCCTGAGCAGAGGGGAAGAGCGGCTGGTCATTGCATATGACAACATAGTGCTGGTGATGGACATTAGGCCAGAAGATCCCTGCCCAGTAATTGATGGACCTACATACACATTTTACACTCAGCTTCCTGCTACGATATCCAGTATAGCTGTTCTCACCGACTACCGGGTAGTCTATGGCATGACCAATGGAGAAGTGTTTATTTATGAGTGTGTGAAGTCCAAAGTTTTCCCGTTAGAAGCCCCCCAGGGCAAAGTTACTTGTTTAGAAGTCAGCCACAAAGAGCAATGGGCAGTGAGCAGTTCTCAGGAGTCACTGCTGTACCTTTGGGACCTAGAGCTCTGCAAATGGAAACACACACTGACCTTTGAGGTAGGCCTTCATTCTTACACGTAGAGAACGTAAGAATCCTGTTAATCAAAAGTATAAGAGGTAATGATGGTGGTAGTAATAAGAGTAGCTGCTCACATTTCTATGTTGCTTTAAGTTTTTCAAAGCACTTTGCTCAAAATTCTCACAAAATAGTAGTGTAAATACTATTTCCCCTGCTACATAGATAGGAGATTAAATGACTTTTTAAAACATTGATTTGTTGACACATTGAAACTATGCAACTATTTACTGTCAGGGTCCCTCAAACTCTGAAAAGGTCAGTTATTATTCAGTTGTTTTCAGTTGTGTCTGACTCTTCATGGCCCCATTTGGGGTTTTCTTGGCAGAGATACTGGAGTGGTTTGCCATTTCCTTCTCCAGCTCATTTTACAGTTGAGGAAACTGGGGCAAAGAGGGTGAAGTGACTTGCCTAGGGTCACACAGCTACTAAGTGTCTGAGGCCAGATTTGAACTCAGGAAGATGATCTTCCTTCTTCCTTTTTCCAGGACTTGTACTTTATCCATTTAGCTACCCTCCGGAAAGGGTCACTGTGAGGGACTGTCTGATGTTGGCAGCTACCAGGTTGGGTACTGTGGCAAGGGTAGGGTAAGATCTGGGTATTTTGGAAGTTGAGGCAGGGACTGTGGTAGGCAGAGTCGTGTGTACTGGGATGGGCTGGATACGGAGAAGCCCTGAGGCAATTGGGCAGTGCTATGAGATAAGCTGGGTGCAAGGAAGTAGCTGAGCCTGAGCTCCTGAGGCAAGGGGCGGTGCCACGTGGGAGTGGGATGGCAGAGGACTGAGTTCCTTCTGCTTAGTCCCCTCCCTATATGCAACGTCATCCCCAGATGCCTCTTGTGACCTTCCTGACTTCCGGGTCCCTTTGTGCAGCACTGACCCAGTCCCCTCCTGAGTCTGACTTCCTAGGTCACGTACTCTTGTCCATGCGTCAATCCCAGATGCCTCCTTCCTGTATCCAATCCTGGCCTCCTACGTCACTCCCTCCCCCTTGGTGTGCTAAACTCAGACAGCCCCTTCCGGTATCTGACCCTACAATCATTGGCTAGTAGCGGGCTGGGGAGGAGGGGCTAAGTAGGTACTTAGGAACAAGCGTGGTCAGAACACACGTGCGCTCTCCCCTGGCTCCTGCCCTGTTGCTCTGGCCTTGCTGCTTGGGCTTGCTATGATGGTTTGCTGTGTTGGCCTCTGAATAAAGCTCTGGTGTTGGTGCCTCCCGATGGCTCGTCTCTGTGTGGTGATCCAGCTCAGAACCGAAGACCCAGGTGTGGGTAAGACTCTGGTGGTGTACTTCTTTTAAGAGAAGTGGGTACTGGTGCATGACTGGCAGAGGGTCGGCGTGCGGCCCGTATAGGTCACAAAATCACATAATCTCAGAGCTGAGAAGGACCTCAGAAATCATCTAGTCCAACTGGTATAATCTTTATCTTCCTTCAAGGCTCCTCGTAGTTTTCACTTTCTCTGTGATTTTTCTATTTAGCTGTATAGATGCTGCATCCTCTAAATAGAAAGTGAGCTGTTTGGGCGTGGGCACTATTTAGTGTTTGTCTTTATGCCTCCAGACTCTAGCACAGTGCTTTGCACACAGTACACACTTAAAAGTTTTTTACTTTAATTGAATTGATCAAGGATCCTCTCTAAACCCCAAACAACAAGGGTAATCATCATCTAGCCTTTTTTTCTTCAAAGACCCCTTCTGAAAATTATTGCACTACAGCCTGAGGCAGGCCATTCTACCTTTTGTATAGCAGTAATTATTTGGAAGTTTTCCCCTACACCAACCCTGTCTGCCTCCATAATTTCTTCCCATGGCTCCTAGTTTTGCCATCTGCATTCTAGGAGAACAAGTTTAAAGCCTTTTCCATATCAAAGCCCTTGAATATAGCTATCATATCCCTACTATATTTTCTCTCCCCAGGGTAAATATCCCTAGTTTTTTTTTTTCCAGGTGATCCTCATGATATGATATGATCTCATTACATGATATGATCTTCATCATCTTGGCTGATCTCCTCTGTATGTTCTCCAGCTTATCAATGTTCCCCCTATATTGCGTCTCCCAGAATTGAATAGAATACTTCAGATGTGATTTGACTAGGGCACAGGATAGCAAGACTATCAATTCCCTCTTTTTGGAAACTATGATTCTTTTAACATTGCCTAAGGTATGATTAGCTCTTTTTGGCAGCCATATCACACTAGTGACTCATAAAGAATTTGTAGTCCACTAAGACTGCCAAATCTTTTTCAGATGAACTTCTCTCTAGCCACACTCACTAATCTTTTACTTTTGAAATTGATTTTTGTGTTTAACCATGATACTTTACATGTATCTCTTACTAAATTTCATCTTATTATATTTGGCCCAATATTTTAGCCTTCTGGATTCTGATTCTGCCATTCAATGTGTTAGTTATATTACCCACTTATGTGCTATTTGCAAATTTAATAAGCGTACCATCTATATCTTTGTCCAGGTCATTGATTAAAAAAAAAAAACCAAACCACAGGACCAAGCATAGATCCTTGGGACAATCCACCAGAGACTTCCTTCTAAAATAACACCAAATCTTTAATGACTTCTTGGGTCTGACTTTAACCAGTTCTGAATAATAACTGTAGTATTGTATAGCCCACATCTTTTTACTCTTTTTTTTAAGAGCAGCATAAGAGATTTTGTCAAATGCTTTACTAAAATCTTGAAACTTTAGTTATCCAGTCAAAATTAGAAATGAGGTTAGTTTGGTATAACTTGTTCTTGATGAGTCATACTAATTCTTTAGTATTATTCCTTCCATGTAACCATACCTTTTAATAATATATTTTGCCAGGAATCAAGCTCACTGGCCCATAGTTTGCAGATTTTATTCTTTTCTCATTTATGAAAATTGAGATAACATTTCTTCTTACCAGTCAATGTGGCACATCTTCTGTCCTTTCAAAGATCAAAAACAATAGAATGGCAATAAAATTCCAGTTCTTTCAGTACTTTGAAATTTAGTTAATCTGGACGTGGTGACTTGAAGTCATTAAGGTGTTCTCTTACTATTAGTACTTTTATTGGCTTTCAACTCTGTACCATCCAACTCTGACCCAGACATACTTGAAAGAATAATGAAGGTCAAGATAGTGGTTATTGCTAACCTTGTGATACCGTCATTATCATTATAGTTCTTTGTGCTTATGATCATACCATCATGGACAGATTACAGCATGGCCTGGTCCACAAGACTTATCCCTAAGACAAAACCATAGGAGAACACAGAGAAAACCACTAAAGTTGACTTAAAGTGCTCTGTCAGACAGCAGACTGAGCTATTGCTCTCCCCTCTCCTTTAAGGGTAATCAGATTCATTACTAGCAATTTTGGTGCCCAGAGAAATGGAAAAACATCCTCAAATCAATTTTAAAGACAAATTCAGTTGGAGAACAAAGAAGGATGGAGCTCACTTAGGGTTGAGCCACCTAGAGTGGAGGCATAAGGAAGCTGATAAGGATTGAAAGTTGTATTTTTATTTTGTTAAAGGACTGTAATTTTTGTCAGAGATTTCTATAGTTTGGTCCCTGGGGCAAAGTCCTGACCATCTTACTCATTACAGCTCATTGAGCACTGCAACTGCGGTATGCCAGACCAGCCTAGGTGAACCATCCCAGAGGATTTGGCTCTCCCTGGTATTTTCTGCTGCCAGCAGGTAGTTTTTAGAATGAGAGAGAGGTAGTGTACTCATTAGTACTACTGTTAGCAACAGTAGCTTTCTGGCTCCCATGTCTCAACAGCCTTGCTTCCCTGCCTCTGGTAACACTTAAGAAGTGATACAGATTTAGAGTAATTATACTGTAGTGAACTTAGAGTATAATATATATCCACATCTGTAAAAAAAAAAAAAAAAGACTGAAGAACAAAGGGGGATGCTACTAGTCCTTCACCTACGTTTATTGGCTTGAAAAATATGCTATTTACTTAACCCAAAATGTCCCTGAGTCTCTTAAACACCTTGCAGTCTATGAGGAGTGGGGAACCTGTAGCCTTGAGGCCAGTTCCCCACCCCTGGAAGTCAATCATTATGTATTCAAGTAATGACCACTATGTATTTGGGACGCGAGGTGGCACCATAGTGCAGGAGTGCTGGGCCTGGAGGAAGGCTTATCTTCCTGAGTTCAAATCTGACCTCAGACGCTAGCTGAGTGAACCTGAGCAAGTAACTTATCCCTGTTTGTCTCAGTTTCCTCATCTGTAAAATGAGCTGGAGAAGGAAATGGCAAACCACTGTAGTATCTTTGCCAAAAGCAGTCGTGAAGAATCAGACACGACTGAAAACAATTGAACAACAACACTGCATCTAAAAGTGTGCTATAATATCCCACAGACAGATAGAAGGGTCTCTTCCCTTGAGAGGCAACATGGTCAATGGAAGGAGCACTGGAGGCCTAGGTTAGAATTCTAATGTTAACCAAATATCTGACCTTTGGCAAGTCACCCGGCCTTTCTGTGACTTAACTTCTTTATTTGTAAAATGGGAAAATAATAGTGGTACAATCTTAGGATTGTTGTGAGAAGTTTTTGTTAACCTTAGAGTGTTGCAGAAACAAGAACTATTCTTCTCAGTGGGACTGAGTGCTCCCTCCAAACTTTGCCATGACTGTGTCACTGTTTAAATGATTCCGGGCTGGATTTCTAGTTATCATTTTCATTTTGGTTTATTTTAAGGCATAATCAAAATTTCATTGTTCATTTTTACCAGAGTGCTTTCTACCAAGGAATTCAATGTGTCTGTTTTTCCAACGATGATAAGTATGTGTACAGTGGGTTAAAGGATCAGTCCATTCTAGTCTGGAATGTTTCTGATGGTGAGTTATATCATGTATTTTAAAAATATTTTTAAAAGTTTTATACCACACTTATTTCCAAACATAGCCCTCTCCCTCCCCTTGCCCCGCCCCCTGCCGAAAGTCTTCCTTCTTAACAAAGATTTAAAAGGAAAAAAGTTCAGCAAAACCACCCAACACATCAAGCAAATCTGACAGCCTATGCAACATTTCATACCCATGATCCCTCACCCCTTCAATAGGAAGGAGGTGAATTTTCTCCTCCCTTTTCCAGGGCCAAGTTTGATCATTAGAATTATAAAGCATTTGGTTTAATTTTATTTATTGTTTCCATTGTTGTGGTCATTATATATTTTCCTGGTTCTACTTGCTTTGCATCATTATGTGAATGTCTTCCCGTATTCCTCATGTTTGCTGTTTCATCTGGTACAATAATATTCCATTGCATTTATATACCACAATTTATTTAGCTATTCCCTAATCAAGGGACACCAGTTTTATTTCCACTTCTTTGCTACAAATAGGATCTTTCTGCCTTTGATCTCTTTGGGGGATATGCCTAAGAGTGGAATCTCTGAGTGAAGAATGATTTTACTTTTAAAGCAAATAGATCCAGATGACTAAATATCATGAAACAGCTGGGTGACACAGTGACTAGAACACTGGCCTGGAGTCAGGAAGATCTGAGTTCAAATTTAGTCCCCTACTTACTAGCTGTGGGACCCTGGGCAAGTTGATTAACTGCTATTTGCCTCAGCTTCCTTATCTATAAAATGAGGATAATAATAGTACCTACTTCCCAGGGTAGTTGTGAGGATCAATTAGATTAATTAGATAACAATTATAAAGTGTTTAGCACAGTGCCTGTCACAAAGTAAGAGCTATATAAATGTTGGCTGTTATTACTAGCTGTGTGACCCTAGGCACTTAAACTCTTTGTGCCTCAGTTTCTTTATCTGTGAAAATAGGGATAATAACAGCACCTATTTCATAGGGTTGTTGTGAAGATCAAATAAGATAATATACGTAAAGCTCTTTGTAAACCCTAAAGTGCTATATAAATGCTAGCTATTATTACTACTAAGTGTAGATAGAAAATATACTTAGCTAAATATAGCAACTTCTCGACAATGCATCTGAGAAGAAGAAATTAAGTGGAGATATAATATGTGTCTTTCACTAAAGTCCTGCTCTGATCCCTCATATTTCAGTAGAGGTGACCTTATATTTAGGTCCTAGGCCAAGGCAATGCAGATCCTTGCCAAATTAGAAAGACTTTGAGGCTATGTCTGGCAATTGGCCTATATGTCTGATGGTTGCCCAAGTTTGGAAAGGCTCACACCTGGAAGGATGGATGCTACCAAGTGGTGCTTTTGATCACAGCAACTCATGAAGATAGTCTACTAAGGCATGTAGTGGTTACATTCTATGTTGGTGGAGGGCATACTCATACCAAAGAAATCACAGATCTTTTGAAGAACCCACATACAGATTGGATATCTAAGACTCCCAAATAAATTTCTTTCTTTTCTCAACCTCTAGAATTGTCTCCCAGTGAAAAACATTTTAACAAAGGTATCACTGCTTCAACCACTCTGTAGACCCTAAGATATAAACATTTTATTAATGATAATAGCTAAGATTTATATAGTGATTTAAAATTTGTAAAGATATATATATATATATATGTATATATATATATATATATAAAATCTTGGACAGTTAGGTTGTGCAGTAGATAGAGCACTGGGCCTGGAGTCTGGAAGATCTGAGTTCAAAACTGGCCTTAGACATTTACTAGCTGTGTGACCCTGGGCAAGTCACTTAACCCTGGTCTCAGTTCCTCATCTGTAAAATGGGGACACAATGGAGGAGGAAATGGCAAGCCACTCCAGTATCTTTGCCAAGAGAATCCCAGTTGGACACGACTGAACCACTGAACAACAAGATCAATACAAAATCTTATTTAATCATCAGTGCTATGAGGTACACTCATTTTACAGGTGAGGAAATTGATACTGACAAAGGTTAAATAATTTGCCCAGGGTCATAAAGCTTATAAGTACCTGGGAAAGGATCAAACTCTGTTATTCCTTGCTTTCAAGTCCTGCAGGCTCTCTACTACACTATCTAGCTACAGGAGGAGTAAGGGAGACAATTCTTCTGCTACTATCCCTCCACAACTTTTTCTCTTTTGAGACCTATGCAATCCACTTGTCCTATCTTCTTCCCATTATTGTTGCTGCCACCTCTAGGTCATTCAACTTTTTCAATGAGTTTAGTACTGACCTAGGCACTATGAGAAGGAGAAGCTGAAATTAGCCTTGGGAGAAAACCACTAATCAGACTTCTATAAATGCAGCCTAAGATCACAAGAGCCCTCTTGGTTATGATGACCTGCTGTGGGCTCATATTAAGCTTCTAGTCCACTGACACCCCCAGAATTCTTCATATGAACTGTTTTCTAAACATGTCTCTACTATTCTGTACATGCGAAGCTGATTGGTTTAACCCAAGTGCAAGACTGTTTGTTGTATTAAATTTCATCATTCTAGCCGAACTAGCCCATTAGCTATCTCCACACTGAAACATGCTGTCTCTTATTTCTGTGCCTTTATAAATGCTATCCCCTCACTTTTCCCTTCATACAATGGCCTCCTCATTTTTGCTTCTTGAAATCCTTAGCTTCCTTTAAGGTTTAGTTCAGGAATCAGCTCCTACATAGAATCCTTGCAGGATCCACCCTGATGTTACCATTTCCCTATCCTTCCCTCCCCCTTTCCTACTCAGAAAACTCCAGTGGCTTCCTATTGCCTCCAGGAACAAATGCAAAATGCTGTTTGGAGTTCAAAGCCTTCATAATCTAGCTCCCTCCCTTTCAAGTCTTTTTATACCTTACTTCCCAGCACGTATTCTTTGATCCAGTGACACTGGCCTCCTAGCTGTTCCTTGACCAAGACATTCCATCTTTTGGCTCTGAGCATTCTCTCTGGCTATCCCCCATGCTTGGAACACTTTCCCTATTCTGCTCTGACTATTGATTAACCTGGCTTCTTTGAAGTCCCCATTAAAATTCTGCCTTGCACAGGAAGCCTTCCCCAACCCCTCTTGACTATATATCCTGTATATAGCTTGCTTTGTAGATATTTGTTTGCATAGTGTCTCCCCTATTTGATTGTAAATTCTTTGAGGGCAGGGACTATTTTTTGCCTCTTTTTGTATCCTCAAAGCTTAGCACAATGACTGGCACATAGTAGATGGTTAATAAATGCTTACCAATTGATTGATTTAATCCCTTTCCCCACCATTGTTGGTGCTTTCTACAATTATTTTGTTTTTACTTATCTGTATCCATGGTGTATCCTCCTAATATAGGGTCTCTCAATCTCAAGTACATAAAATTGTTTAAAAATATTTTGATGGGGACAGTTAGGTGGCACAATGGATAGAGCACCAGCCTTGGAGTCAGGAGGACCTGAGTTCAAATCCGGTCTCAGACACATAACACTTACTAGCTGTGTGACTCTGGGCAAGTCACTTAACCCCAATTGCCTTACCAAAAAAAAAAAATTCATAACTGTATTTCAATATAATTGGTTTCCTTTGCATAATCCTATTTATTTGATTTTATGCATTTTAAAACACAATTCTGAGAAATCCATTAGCTTTACCAGACAGACTACCAAAGGGATCTATCAGACACAGGGTTAAGAACTCCTTCTGCCCTAGAAGAATGTGAACTCCTTTTTGGCAGGGACTATATTTTTGTATCTCTAGTGTCTACCATCTAGGGCAGTGCATGTTTGTTGGATGATTCTAGCCTGTTAAGTTTTGGATTCCAGTTTCATCATCCATTGTATTCTATCTCTCCCACCTTTGTGTCACCTACAATTTTGATAATTTTGTCCTAGTCTGATCTAAGCCCTCACTTAACACAGAAATTCCCACTATGACATCTTTGATAGGCAGTGTAGCTGTGCTACTAGGGTAAATGATTCTGTAAAACTGTCCTCATTTCTGCCTCCCCTCACCTTTACTTTAAAAGTAAAAAATTTGTCCCTCTTTTAATGCTAACATTTTATACTGTATCTTCAAAGAACCTTTTCCACACATGGAAAAGGCTCTTCGAACACTCGCTTATCTTAGTTCAGAGACATTAGAGGCCAGAGAAATGGTTCCACACAGGTTGCAGAGTGGGTGATTCCTGTCTTGAACTTCGATAATACCATTTCTCACTGCATTCTTGTGAGAAATATGCTTGGGAAGGTTTTATTGCAAAATGCTCAGTGCCTGTGGTTATGAGCATTGTAAATTTTAGAATGTGTTGGAATATCATGGGGGCTGAATAAATTGTGGCTACTTGGCATCGTCATGGATTTGAGCCTTAAGTCCTATTTTCTATTGTGCTCCTGTGGCAAGGAGGGAAAAGGCTTCAAGTTTGGGACCTCAATTCTTTCTCTCTCCCTGGGGCTAGTGTGAGGGAAACTCTGGGAGAATAGAGGCATGTTGGTAATATTCTCCATTTTAATAATCTTAATAACCTCCCCTTAGATATAATAAGACTATGTCAAACAGTGCTTTGCAGTTGGGAAAATAGTGTTAAATGAGATCTGGTGAGAGGATTCACAAATCCTTCACCATCAATCCCCTGAACAAATGGTTCGTTCAGTAGAGTATTGAGCTATAATAACTGTTCATTCATTCAACAAACATTTATTGAGTGCCTACTATGACCATATTTGAATTTCTGTATGATACAAATTGGACAAGTTTTTCAAAACATGATATGTACCTGGCCTTGTGTAAATCCTTCCTCTTTACTGGACTTCAGTTCTCTTCTTTGAAATATGAAGAGATTGATTGGACTAGATGCTTTCTAAGATTCTTTTCCCTCTGATATTCTATGTTCTAAAGTCCTTTTACCCCTAACTTTCTATGCTTTATAATTTCATATATAACATTTCATGTGCTATGAACTCTTTCAACTTTAACACTTTATGTTATAAGATCCCTTCCAATTCTGACATCCTAGGAGTCTAAGACTTTGGAGGGTAAATAAAGTATTTGTTTTTCAAGGGGGATGTGAGGGGCATGGGCTTTACATACTTCCAGACAAAGCCTGAGGAAGTGTCCTCCAATTATTTTGCTGGGCCAGTAACAGAGCAAAGTCTAAATGACCACTTATGTATATTGTAGAAGACATTCTTATTCTAGTATGTGTTGGACCAGACAGTGCTGGGTGTCCCATCCAACAAGGAGATTCTGTGATTCTATATTAGCTTTGACATTTTAAGATTCTATAAATTTAGATCTGTGACTCTGGAGCCACAGTAATAATTATCATTAACTCAAGCCTAACATATGTGGACAATCTGTGATTTGAACACTCAGTGTGGGAAGACCTTCCATCAAAATAGATTGCTGCCATCTATGTTTTCACAGTTAAGTCCTATGCAATTGGCATAGTCCAAAAGTTAGTAAATATCAAGGGAAAGGTTTGAACCGAGGCCTTCCTGACTTTAAGCCTAGCACTGTGTCCATTACCCGTACTGCCTCGGTTACCATGTAAATCACAGCAACCAAAGAAGTTGAAGTAGAGGGCTTCCTACTTCTGTCTTGGGAGATATGCCTGGAACAGTGCTGCCTACCCAGCTCCTCTTTGTTGCTGTAATTTTCTCATCTGTTGTCTTCTGAACTTGTCCACAGGTTCCTTGTTGGCTGTTCAGTTTGTATGTGCAACAGTCAATAAAATTATTGCTACAGCTGACGGGTTTATTGCAACAACGAGACACGGCTATCTCATCCGTGAACGCTTCCACTGCCCTCAGCCATTAAGTGCCTCTTATGACCCTCTCAAGAACATAAAGGCAGCATGTACTATCAAAACCAAGAAGCAAGAAGAGATTCTAATGGTGGTAAGAAAACAGCAGAGTGACTCAGAAAGAGCAGAAGAAAAGCAAAACAGTACAAACAAGATATCTCAAGTCTGTGTGGTCATATGACAGAAGATGAGATATTACAAAGAGAATTCAGAGGGCAATCCCATCACTCCATTTAGGACTGCCCTTTGTTTTTCACATCATTCTTTCCTCATATGCATTTCAGTTCAGACCTGCCACTAGGATATCGTTATTGGACTTTTTTCTTAATTTATTTACTAAACAAATATTTATTAAGCACGTACTACATACAAGGCTCTGTGTCTAGAGTTGGCAACACAAAGGTAAAATAACTTCCACATAGTCACCATAGGAGATAGGGCTAGAATTGTAGGATTTTGAAGCTGGAAAAGGCCTTATTAGTCATCTAGTTCTTATCCCTTTACTTTACAGATGGGGAAACTGAGGCCCAGACAGTAGCAGTGACTTGCCCAAGGTCACACTGGTAGTAAGCGGCAGAACTGGGATTTGAACTGAGGTATCCTGACTAAATCCAGTACACCATCCTAGTAAGGAGTCTACCCTAACCAGCACTGATTAATTTGGACACTACTTTCCCAAGCCTGCCTGAAATCTATCTAACCTTGAGTTAAAACAAGAAGTCATTTTATCATCCTTTCCCCCTTCCTCCAACCATGAACCCTTTGCTAGTTATCACTTTTGGAAACGCATGTTTTTCAGACAGCAGGATTTCTGAGCCAGGCCGAACAAGCTGCTACAGTATTTTCCTGCTTTCACACCATCTGCTGCTGTGGGGCTGAACAGTGAAACACTAGAAACCCAGCCTCCATTTCTATGTATGGCCTTTCAAAAAAATCCCTACTTGTTTCCAAGGATTAGTGCTAAGGGGAAGAGAACCCAGAGCTTAGAGGTGCTTCCCTCATGATTCTAGAGACCACATTTAAAAAAAAAAATTTTTATTTTTAGGCAATTGGGGTTAAGTGACTTGCCCAGGGTCACACAGCTAGTACATATCAAGTGTTTGGTCTGAGGCCGCATTTGAACTCAGGTCCTCCTGACTTCAGGGTCGGTGCTCTATCCACTGCGCCACTTAGCTGCCCCACTAGAGACCACATTTTAACATAAATGTGCCTAGTCTTACTCCAGCAAATTTCATTAGTATTAAATAATGAGTAGAGTCTCATTGGTTACATGCTTCACCAAGAGGTAAAAATAATAGAAATTGGGTCATCAAAAAGGAATACATTCCATAAGCTTTTAGAATCACATAGGTTAACTTAACACTGTGTCATTTTAAAGCTTAAAATAAATATTTTGGAATGTGAAAAGCTTTTACATTCCCATAGTATTAACAATTCACCTCCTATATGATGCTGGCAGCAGTATTTGCCTAACAGAATTCCAAGGGTATTACTGACATGACATTTTTGTAAAATGATCTTAACCCAGAATAGTATCAAGTTAGCACCACAAAACCTAGGCCTAATATGAGGGATTCCAAATCCAAAGGGTTCAGAAGTATGAGGAGGAACACAGATCAGAAAGGAAATAAATCACTCCAATCATTGCTCCTCAGAAATTACAGTCTGGGAAGTCATAGTTTTTGAGGGAACACTTTTCTCACATTTTGTTTTCTAGTTTAACTGTCCCCTGCCTCAATTTCTTAAAACTCTGATAATTCCGGCACATGATAAGTAAACTATTAATCTATCCAAAGAGATGCTCTGGAAGTTTTTTTCTATAGAGTTTTCACAGAATTATGCATGGACCAAGAGCAGGGAGGACCCACTGAGATCCTTACTTTACCTATGAAAAACATAAGACTCAGGGGAAGGGGCTTGTCCGATGGCACACAGCAAGTCTATGGCAGAGCCAGTGCTAAGGCCCATGTCTCCAGAAGCCTAGTCTAGGGCTCCTTCCACTGCACCAACCTTCCTTCTCTGTAGAGCTTGAAAATAGAATTTGGGAAAGAAAATGTTACCAATTATGATGTTGTTTATTTTTCAAAAAAGAACACAACAAAAGATACTGGAGAAATGTATTACTCTGAAGCAGTAAAACACAAAATAAATCAAACCTATACTGGTATTACTTTCTCTGTTTCCTGTATCATGTAATGGTTATAGCTTCACCTTACCATATGACATATCTGAGTTGAAGAATTCAGAACAAGAAATAGCACTGGAGAATTTAAGAAAACTTAAGCTAAGCACTTCTGTTGTCAGGTGGAGTAGACAAAAAAAAGTATAATTTTAAGAACAATGATAATAGTTGACATTTCTCTAATTCAACAAGCAATTATTAAGCTTCTACTATGTACCAAGAACGGAGCTAGGCGTTGGGGATACAAAGACAAAAACCAAATAGTACCTTCCCTCAAGGACCTTACATTTTACTACGTGGAGGAACAGATGCTAATCTATATTCATGTTGTTCCAACTCCTACCCTCTTGTAGGCAATTCTATACAAAGTCTAAACAAAGTAATTTCCAGAGGAAATGTACTAGCGTATAGAGGGGTCAAAAAAATGCTGCGGGTAGCACCTGAACTGAGCCTTGAAAGAAGCTAGGGATTCTAATAGGTAGAAGTAAAGAGGGAATATATTCTAGGCACTGAGGACAGCCTTTGTAAAGGTACAAAGACAGAAGGTGGAACGCTGTATACATGAAATAGCAAAGCAAGCACGACAGTTTGCCTGAAAAATAGAATGCATAGAGGGGAGTAATATATAATATGCCTAGAACTATAAACTGGAGCCAGATTGTAAAGGAATTTAATTGCTAAACAGAGGAGTTTACATTTGATCCTGGAGACAACAGAGAGCTACTGGAGCTTCTTGAACATGGTAGTGACGGGGTCAGCCTGTGCTTAAAGAACATCAATTTGACCGTTTTGTGGATGGAATGGAGACTACAGGGAAGAGACTAGAGGCAGAAAGACCAATTAGGAGATGATTTTAATAGTGCAGGCAAAAGGGGATGAAGGCCTGAGCTGGGATGGTGGTCATGTGAGTGCAGAAAAGGGGACGGATGCAAAAGATGGTGTTTAGGTAGAACCAACAAAACTTGGCAACTGATTGAAATCGGGGAGTGAGAGGGAAGGGTAGAGTATGACTGAAGTTGTGAACCTGGGTAACTGGAAGGATGGTGGCCTCCTTAACTGAAATAGACAATTTAAGAATAAAGAAAGGTTCTGGGGAAAAGAAAAACGAGTCTTGTTTTGAACTTGTTGATTCTGAGATGCCTATGGCATATCCAATTGGAGATATATAATAGGTAGATGATGATGAGGGCCTGGAGCTCAGGAGAAATACTAGGGTTGTGTGTGTGTGTGTGTGTGTGTGTATATATATATGTGTATTATATATATGTATATATATGTGTAAATCCTGAAGTATATATACATATATGTAAATCCTGAAGTCATCTCTCTAGAGATGATGATCCATAGAAGAACCCATACAGAACCCACAGAAGCTAATGAGATCACTGGAAGAGAGGATGAAGTGAGAGAAAAGAAGAGGGTCCTGGAGAGACCATAATGATTAGGGGACATGACATGGATGATGACAGATAGGAAGAGAAACAAGAGAGAATGGTGTTATGAAAACCCAGGAGACAGGATTTAGGAGAGGGGCAGTGAGGCAAAGTGCTTTACATAAATTATCTCATTTGATCCCTACAACCCTGTAAGGAAGGGCTATTATTATCTCATTTAACAGATGAGGAAATCCAGGCCAAGAGTGGTTGGTTAATTGGTCCAGTAAGCTTCCGAGGCCAGATTCAAAATTAGGTCTTCTTGCTTTCAGCTCCAGCTCTTATTAATTAGGCCACATTGCTTTTCAACAAGAGCTGCTGTGACAGTTCTCAGTGAAAATCTTTCAGCATCTTAAATATCAAACATCTCACGGCCTTTCAGGATTTAAGGCATTATATACAAGGGCTAAATAATGATAAGATATGACCT